ATCTCACCTGATGTACAATTGCAGGAGGGCTGAGACATGACAGTGCTTTCCCCGAGACCCAAAGCCATTTTGTCTGATGTCTGAAACCTGACATTGTGGTCTCAGGGTGTCCTAAAACGTACACCTTAACACAGGCGGCTTTTGTAAAGGCTTGATGTCCGCTTGCTGCAGTGGCACACAGTGTTCAAACCCACTGAGTACAACACAATACACAGTGTATTACAGTTCATTTGTTGACACCTCTATTCTCACAGATGTGTTATATTTTTCGGACATCTCTATTAAAAAATTAGGTACATGCTGTGCTTTGGAGACTGTGTGCAGTATACCATTGTCTGATCATGCCCCATAGTCGTTGCTGGCTGGTCAGAAACTTGTAAACAAAGTTTTCTTGGTATGGTTTAGTAGTTTTTACTGTATGTTAAATAAATAACATTTAATCACATGTTCTCCTAAACTACAGGCTACTGTTAAAGTAGCATATAATTGTTTTTTTAGGCTGGGCTATGTTTGATTGTCTTTTTTGAGTTTGTTTTTAGCACCAATTTCCAATACTATTGTCAGCTGGCTAAAGCCTAGCATAGTCACATTTGTCTTTCTGAAAGTTCAAAAATACGCCAAGCACTTTTTGTGAGCAGTAGATACACATGATTATAGGCAGAAAGGCATGGCGCCAGCTAATATTCCATTTATATATATATTTTGCAGTTGTGTTTTTATGACAGTGTGATCCGGTACAAAAATGCCAAACTATTCAGTTTGTTCTAGTTTTTGATAGAGAACTTAAAGTTATAGAACTAAAAGTTTCATGTTGTTTAAAAATGCAGATGATTGTTTTGTTGTAGAATTTTTTTTGTCAGGGACCTCCTTGTGTGTCTGCCCCTTTGTTGGCCCCCTGTCTAGTTTGCTTTCTTGCTCCATGTCTTCTGTCTTCAGCCCTCACCTGTTCCTCGTTTCTAGCCCCTGCCCTTGTTAAGTGTCCTCAGGTGTTTCTTGTCTTCTCTGTTTGTATATACTGCTTTGTTTCCTTCGCCCCCCAGCTAGCATGGACGATTGATGTCCATGTCCAGTTTCTATGCCTGTGTTCTCTCCATATTAGCCTAGTGTTTGAGTTTTCTTTGTGGTCTTAGTCTGGTTATCTTGGTTCTCTGTGTTATTTTGGTTATCATGTTCTTGTGTGTTTTGTCATGGATCCCCGTGCCCTTTCCCAGCCTGCATGTTTTATTGATATTTTTCATAAAGACTGCAGTAAAAGATACCAACCTCTTCGTTACAGTTTTACTAATTTTCTTATTTATTCAATTGTGAAAAATAAGGTTCAGACTTTTTTGTTGCCTGTTACTTTGGCTAATGAAAGTATTTAAAATGAGCTGGAGCCCATCTAAAATTTTCTTATGAGCCATAAGCACCAAGTTATTAGGGCATTCTGTGTTTTCCAAGCCTATGGAAGGCTTAACCTCTAGCCTGCACATTTCATATCAGTACATTCATTTAGCATAGAAAGTGCAGGCTTTAAGTAAAGAGCAAATAACCAGTGTTATTGTCTTTGTTGCCTGTTGCTTCCCAAAACTTTGACAAAAAAAAAAATCAATTTGTATGTAAAGAAAGCTGAATTTGGCCATAACCGTTCATGACCGGCGCACCCCTTGTGATCAGTGATGTAGGAGACAGGTGCAAGCTTGGCGATTGAGGGTGACTTGCTTAAACCTGAGTGTTTACACTTAGGAAATAGGCAAGAATGTCGGAGAGGACAGGCCTAAGTTCTTTTTATATATTTTTTCATTTATGTATATATTTCTGCCCTGCGGAAGATGTGGCTTACTCCCAGAATCTAAATCAAGAGATTCTGAGTGCTGAGATTACTGGAATGTCAGGGAAAGCAAGCAGCCTACCTACTTCTCCACCTGAGCTCTGCATATCCGCACAGAAGTACTTCAGAGGTTCCTAAATACAGATGCACGTGCACACACAGAAAAGCAATATGCTTAAATATTATGGCAGTTGTGGCTGAGTGGGTAAGGCTATGAATCTGAAATTCATGAGGGCCTGTTCTTTGTCCCTCAGCCTTCTGTACGTGTCCTGCGCCGTATTATGCACAAAACAAGCATGAGTAAAATGCAGTTTTATCATATTGGGAGAGCTTTTACTGTCTTCACTTCTGGATATTTTAGTATGACTAAGGATGCATTGTTGGTCCTATTCAGCTTCTGCTCTTCTCTTACACATTTTTACCATTATTGCATTGAAATTTTGAGCGCTGCTATCCAGTAACTGGAACCTTGCCATAAAGTAAGAGTAAGTAAGTAGTAAGTAAAGTTTTATATAGCGCTTTTTACAACAGGTGTTGTCACAAAGCAACTTTACAAGGAAATCAGCATTACAGAAAGAAATCCGGGTCCAAGCCCCCATGAGCGTCGCCAGTGGCGACAGTAGCAAGGAAAAACTACCTGGGGAAACATGAAGAAACCTTGAGAGGAACCAAGACTCAGAAGGGGAACCATCCTCCTCTGGTCGACTCCGGGTAGTAAGCATTGTTAGTAAGAGGTGCACAGAAATACGGTGAATACACTAAACATTATCATTTCTGTGCTCTCAATACATTTATTACATAAGTGTGTGACAGAGCTGCCCTCCGCCACAATATATATTTGCAAAGACTTCCTGTGTAATGGGGACATTTCATATTCAAACAGTCAGACACATGCTGTTTTTAAATAGCCTTTATTGATTGATAACGTTTATGCTGGAAAGCTGAAGTGGAATGGTGAATAAGAGCAAACCTGCAGGGGAAAAAGAAAAAGAGAAAAAAAAAACTTAATGTTGAATAGGAACAGTTTCATTTATAAAAATGTTAAGAGTTAATGCTGCTTGCTTTAGCAATATAACTAAACAGTTTAAGCACTGTTATATTTCTGAGCACTTGGGGAAGTCAAGAAAGGTTTAATAGAGTAACTAAATGAAATAAGAAGGCAAAAGTACTTACCTGTGAATAGATTCCAGAGGAAGGTAGCCATGTTTTCATCCAGGGAGGAAAACAGTAGCCTTTGTCTGGTGAGTTTTTATAGTGAACTTTTTCTGCGCAAAAAATGGAAGTGACATCACACAACTTCCTGTTTAGTTCTATAAAAGCCCTGGGGGGGGGGGGTGGACAGATTGAGCTAGTTGAGTGGAGAAGTTAAAGAAATGTGGTTGGAGCCCAAAGAATGCTGAAATTGTGATTGAATAAGAGGCTTCATACTAAGTTATATATATTTGTAAATATTGAGTTTCATTTATTTTCTTTTCCTTTTTTTGCACTGTATAAATTGCATTTTTTTTGTTTGTTTTCTATAAACACCTACTTTTGCACCTAACCTGAAACATACCCACGTGTCTTTTCCACCAGACCATCACAAAGTGCAATTGTGATTGATTAGGAGTTCATTTATTGGCAGTTAGTACATATCAGAAGAATTCATGTGTGACGAGTGTTTTACATTTCACACTGGACCAAAAAAAAATCCACATATATTTCTGTTGAACTGTGTAAAAGTAGTGTTAACAGTCATTTAAACCAAGACAAAATTCAGTTTGGACTGTCACGTTTTTGAGAAAGCCCCTGTTGTCACGCTCCCTGGTTCACATGCAGGCTCTCAACTCTATATGAACTCCAGCTCCCAAGATCCCTCAGCTAGTCATGTGATTCACTCCACCAATCATCAGCCAATCAGCAGATCCAGTCCACCTGAATGCTGATTGTCATCACCTGTTGAACTGTGTGTTTAATCCCGTCTGTTCCTCTGTTACTTTGTGAAGTATTGCCTCTGTTTGTTCACTGCGTACTGAGTTGATTCCCTGTTTGTTGTTTCTCTCGTGATTGACCTTGCTTTGTCTTTCTCTTTTGTCTTTTGGATTATCCTGTTTTGTCTTAGCTTGCATGGTAGTTATATCTTCTAATTTCGACCCATGCTTGTTTTTACCACAGTTTTGCCTGCTCCAGTGTGTTGTGTTTTTTTTTCTTTTGTATTTTGCTCTGGTCTGGTGTTATCCTTGTTATCTGTACCAATCCTTTATTAAATAAACCTCCAGGTTTATTTTATATCTGCGATTGTCTAATTTGTCAACCCGAGCGTTATACCTGTACACTTAAAAAAATGTATGTGGTAACAAAGCTATTCAAATGGTTTCATTATTATAAATACTTTATTCTGTATTCCACTAAATACTTAAAATGTAAAACAATGCAAAGCACCGATTCAGTGTAGAATCACAAAAGCAAAATTTTATATCAATTCAAACCTCAAACAATACTTCAAATTAACTTGTATGCTGTTCCACCTTTTGCAGTGCAGATCTGTTTTTGACCGAGGAATGCTATAGGAAGTTGATTGCTTATGTGTGTAAACATGCAGATTAGGAAGCTCTCATTGGTTTTACTCGTCAACAAAATGGTAAAAGACGAAACACCACGCTTAAGGTTCCAGTCTGTCAACACCATAGTTCAACAGCCTCCTCAGATCAGATATTTCAGTTTGTTTTTTCTTTTAGTACCAAGAAATTATGTGATTAAAGCCTGCTATGACTAACTTACTTGCTAGAACACTAGCTAGTCACAGTAATCTGACATAGGTAAAAATTGGCCTGTATTATTTTGACCAAAATCATTAATTCCTCTTTAATTAATTACATGAATGGGTTTAATTATCAAAGAACACAGTTTCTGTATAGTTTCCAAATATTAGGTGAAATAGGTGAAAATATTACTTGGGCAAGTAATGCCACTGGAAAAGAGTCAGCCCTCCTAGCTTTCATATGACGATCATCAGCCGTGCTGTTCTAGCAAATCAGTTAACCACAGAGGTGCGACAAGTCTTTCTTTCTTTTAGCAAGGTGCATACCAACAGTCACTTTATGGTTGTACTCTGAATGTTATGTGCGTATCATGATGTGTAGTCACTTATTTACTTATACACACAAAACCTCAGTTGTGTAAACATATCAATCTTTATGTATTTTAACAGGGTTCATTCTGAAGGAAAGTGGTCTGGCCCGGTATCTTCACTCGGCAGTGCTGATCAGTGGAGCAATGCTGGTGTTTGGAGGAAACACTCACAATGACACGTCACTCAGCAGTGGAGCCAAGTGTTTCTCGTCTGACTTTCTTTCATATGACATTGGTATGAACTGCCTCATCAAATGTTACCATGCGTGACTGAGATGCCTTTACACTGTACAATACCTACAGATACCTCAATGTCCACACATTCATTTAATGAAAACATTGACAAGTTGACAAACAAAACATATATATATATAATTTTTTTGCAGTTTTTTGTTAGTGATGTTTTTTAGATTAGGAAATTATTTATTTAAATAAATAAGTGATTGATATGAATAAAGGATGACTGATATTTCCTATAGCTGTAAAAACTCAGCTAAGAAATGGCTCAAAACGACTTGGAAAAAACTCTGGTTCCATTGACTTGCATTAAAAGTAAAATAGTTTTTTTCCTTCTCCTTTAAATATACTATTTTGGAGATACAAGGTTTTCTTCCGACAACAGCGATTTTATATATATATATATATATATATATATATATATATATATATATATATATATGTGTATATGTGTATCGCTGTTGTCAGAAGAAAACCTTACATATATATATATATACATATATACATATATATTTATATATATATATATATATATATATATATATATGTATATCATATATATACACACACAGATATCAATTAAAGAAATATTAAAGAATAATTGTAAATAATCATTTTTTTTATTCAGAAATATAGCATAACACATTTATCTTATTATTAACCATAATATTTTAAAGCTTAAGTGTGTTTGATAGAATATTCAAAATTGTAAATTAGTAGTTGCAGTCTTACTGAAAAGGCACTGGAAGTCATTTGGTTTTAGTTGAGTGTCTTATGTTACTCATGCTTAGTGGATGAAGAGGGAGGAATGAACAGTTAAGACACGGCTGAATGCCCAGCATTTCTTAGACGTGCGCATGAGAGACAGTCAGGGGATCCAGCATTTGTGCTCAGCATCTCTGTAATTAGATCTGTAGTGGTGCGCTGGTGGTAGACCTCCCACGATAGAGCCCCTTCCCCAGGGTGCATACTTCTCATCTCCCATTACACCCATTTCCCTGCACAGTCAGGGTCCAGAGACATGCTAAGTCTCAGGCCTACCCTACACATGGGTGAGAGGCTGCTAATGTAACCATAGATGTAACTGGAGATAAAGTCTGAGGCTGGTTTCTCCACATGCAGGAGGTCACTGATGGAGTGTGAATGTGACCTTTGACTTGTGTAGTAAACTAGAGCTTGCTTTCCGGCAGTCTATTTGGGGAGTTGTAAATGAGGCTTATGAGAGATGTGTAGCTTATTGCTTCATATTCTAAATTGCTACACATGCTGTGCAGTCGTGTGGTGTTACAGTCAACTGTTTAAAATGTCGTGCAACTAAAGGAGCATTCGTATGGAGTACTATTTCTGGACATATGTGTGTGAAGTAATGTTACCACTGGAGGTCTGTAATCTGATATCTGTGTAAATTATGGAATTGGGAAAGACCACAAAAGAGCTCCATGCATAACAACCTTCACTAAAAAACATTGTGAACTAACATTGATTGTTATTTCTCTTATCTTAATAAGATGTCCCTGGCTGGCTTTAGTCTTCAGTGAAAGCTGTTTGTCATTAGTATTGTCATTAGCTAGTACGTTTATAGTCAACCATCAAATTCGCCACAGAAAAATCTAACTTCCTGGCTCATTTTTGCCCACAAAAGATGCAAGTAAATGCTTTTTGGAGTGCCTTCATACTTTTGAGTACATTCATAAGCTGATCCTTTCCCTGATCCTTTTTAATACTTAACCCTTGTGTGGTGTTGGTGTCTGTGGAACCCATTTTCAGTGTTTACCAAAAGAAAAAATGATGCGATTTGTTATTATTTTAACCTCAGATTCCTTGGCCTTTGCTCATTTTCTGTGAAGCTGTGGGGGTGAACCCGCGGGGAATAAAAGCGTGGAGGTGCTGTGTCCTTCACACTGTTCTCTTCCAACATGGCCTGCTGTTATAAGGGTGGACAACATGGACAGGCTGCTAACTGGCTACAGCTGCTAAAGGAGAACCCTACGCTGGCCACTTGTGATATTTTAAACATCTGGTATTTTTACATGAATTGTTAAGGCTGTATTGATTTAAAAAGACAATAATGCGGGGGGTCCACCAGACCACTGAGTAACAAACACATCAACACCACACAAGGGTTAAGTGTTTAGAATCATTGGTGTAAAATGGCATATTCTGACATTCGGTGCATTCGTTTAGTAATAGTGCACATGCTTTGAACGTTGCTGTATGATAGGGCTGACCCAAACAGCATTTGAATACTTGTTCGTGTTTCTGAATGAGCTGCCGACTACTCGTTCTCACAATCACACTTAAAAACTATAATAATTAAATAATTTTTTAAAATAAATATTGAAATATTTGTATAATTTATTAAGATTTGAAGCATTTTTAGTCTTCAATTGGAGAATTTTCAACAACACTGTCATGTAAACAGGTAATCACTAGAAGACTTTGAAATGTCATAGTTTGTCATTTTTTTTGTAATTTGTTCGCTTCTTTTTAATGACCAGTAACTCCTAAATGCTACATTTTCTCTTAAGCTTACATAGAAAAAAGTGCACTTTAAGGATCTTTGTGAGTTGAGTTGTCTTTGGCGAGCTAGTGCAGGTTTCGTAGAGTACAACTTTATGTGGATTATTAGTGTGTGATTTAGAGTTCGCCTTTCATTCCTGACAGTAATATTTAGCCATCATTAAGCTCTCGTAAAAAGCAGCAGAATGCCAGTCAGCCAGATGGAGTCTGCTCTTTTATGAATATTTGTTTGAAGTACAATGCCTCTCTGCTAGAGTGCCCAGGACAAAGTAAGAGGCAGATTGATGAGGGAAAGTGAGGGAATGGAACAGAGAGATGATAAGACCGAGTGGAGTCGCAAAGCAATGCGAGACAATCAGCAGACTCTTTTAGGATCACACAATTCACTTAATTGAGTAAATCTACAGACAAAATAATCTGATAACTGCAGAAAATTAATTTTGGCAAAAAAAAAGATCTCTGATCTACATAATAAGTCAGTAATCAATTGTTTGTCGAAAAGTATGTTTCACTATGTATGTGCTTTTACTTTGCAGATCAAAGAAAGAGAACATGATGTAAAAATCTTGTGATTGGACACATTTTTTAACATGGAGTCATTTTAGTGATTAATGCTCAACTTTAAAATGTTATTGTATAGTTTTTATAGTAAATTGTACAAAAAGCTGTGATTTATTGCCATTTCTGCACATAGAAATAAAGAAAACAAAGCATATCAGATTAATATGTGCTGAATAACCCACTAAAATCCTGTTGATGTCTTGAAGCCCAGTAATGGCTTAATCTAATATTTAGGATATCTCAGTATCCCATTAATATAATCTGTTAACTGCCAAAATAGCCATATTATTAATGTGCATGTAATTGCACTCAATGACTTGGATAGATAAAATCAGACATGTTTAATGTCACCCCAATCTTTCACTTTTTCTAAAATACTCAACAGCTGTTCCACCAGAAGCCTCCCTGTCAAGGTTAATTGGCCTCATCTTTCTGTTTTCGGTGAGGGGTCATTTCTGATCTGAACTGAGAGCAAACTCATCTGGACCAATTCCACATGTTCTGGTTCCAGTTTGATTTGAGAGTTTATTTTGTGCTGGCTCCGTGCACTGTAGCCACTCTGTCTGATTGCAGTGTAAGCAGTGAGGCTGTGGCCTGGCTGGTAACTCTGTCTGGCATGGGAACAGCCTTTTGCTCTGTAGTCCCACCACACATCTATCTCAACCTCTGGACCGTTGGCCCGAAGTCCACTCCACTTACTCAATTCATTAAAGCAGCAAATTAGGCCTTTTATTAATCAACAGGAGCAAGACTTCCTGGAAGTGCTTTTGTATTGATAATGTAACAATCTTTTGGGCTTTTCATTTGATCCAGATGGAAAACTTTGCATAATGCTGAATAGAGCAGTAGCTATATATATGTATATGAAATAAAGAAATAAAAAAATACAAAAGGTTTAATTTTCTTTACTGTAAATTGATGAAAAGTTATTTGTTGAGCATGCTGTCTTGTTTAATGGAGAAGAAAATATGCTTTAGTTGTGGTGCACTCTAAAAGCTGTCAATACAAAATATAAATAGAATGCAAATGTATCTCATTGCAGAACTTACTGTGCTGTTACATACCTAAATATGTGTACTGGGGTGTAATGATTCACTAATTTCATAAATCAAATTGATACGAAACAGTGGCGTCTTGATTTAATACATTTTTTGAGTTTTCAATGCAGCAAAAAACAAGGAGTGCCTGAAAGTGTACCTTATGTTGATACCCTCACAAAAACAGAAAAAACATCTAATAATTTATAATATAATTTATAATATGTATAATACCATAAGATTCTTATAGGAATCCTGTAGTTAATCCTAAGTAGCTGCAGTGTTTCTGTAGATGTTTTCCTAATAAGTATGTTTTTTGTGTTAATGTTTCCATTTTTTTTGTTTTTCTTAAAGCTCTCAACCTTAGGAAAGCACAAAAATGAAAACTTAAGCGTGGCCCAGTGGATTTTAGCATAATCCGTTTAGACAGGTTTCTCAACAGCATAGAAATACAGAACAAATCTGTGTTTTATAATGATGCAAAACCGAAATTGGAAAAACAAAATTAAAAATGGTGTGGTGTGAGAAGAAAAAAAACAAAAATGGGAAGTAAAATCTCTAAACAACCACAGCACTGAATTGTTTCACTGTTTTCTTCTTGTTCCACCGTCTAACAGAAAAGGGTGATTGTACAGATGAGTGTTCTCATGTGCAGGTTAACCCCCTCACCCCAAGCTAACACGCTGACCGCAAACTAACATGAAGGCCTGAGCTAACACGCTAAGTTTGTGTAACGCCTCTGTGTGTGGAATTAAGAGCTTTGTCTTGAATGCTACAATATAATATGCTGTTTTTTATGTACCTAATGTGTACCTTCATTTCAGTTGCAAAGTACAGCAAAACAAAACACTTCTAAGAGTCATCATTGTAACTACAATAG